GGGGAATGCGCTGGGGATGAACGGAAAACTCCCCCGGGGTGCCTCTTCAGCTGGATTTTCTCTTTAGCTGTAGCTTATTCTCTTTAGCTTTAGTCTTGCCTGATTTCACTTAGGTCGATGTAGGGCTGCTAACAAATTTTGAAATGCGGTGTGGTTGCAAAAACTAGACGAATTTAGTTGTTTAGTCGTCTGTTACAAGGCAGCCTTTTTTTTTCTTTTTTTTTACTAGAGCTAAAGCTAATTGCTTAACAGAACAGACAGCGTCTAGCAACGCTGCCGCTTAGCTAAAAATCGTTACATAATTTTTTTGCAGTGTTGATATTTATTCCCCCTGCACGTGCATCTATTTGGAAGTAGACCTTATCACTGCAACTCGGGCGCTCCGACAATAACGAAGTGTTGGCGGTGTCCTCAGGAGCGGAGCCTTAGAGAGCGTTTCTGGCAGTCCGTTTTCGCGGGGCGGTGCTTGAGCGAGGGCTCCACCTGCTGCCTCCTGCGTGGACCGCAGGGCTCTGCCTCTGCGCGGGGCCGCGGGTGCTGTCATGGTAACTGACAGCCGGGACGGAGCTTAAATAGGTGTGTTAATCGCTCCCATCTACTCTAAACAAAACGTGTGGAGTCAGGGGAAGAGACGAGCCGCAGAAATTGGAAAGTTCTGCTTGTAGGGCCTCAGAAATTGGGAATTTCTGCTTGTAGGGCCTACAGAGCAATGAAGGCTTTACTGCTCCAAAGTGTAAGAGTGGTGTTTGTAAGCCATGTCGGTAGATAGGTTTTCCATGTTATATCACCCCTGAATGTCTAACTGGTTTCTGTAATCAGGAGGTTAATCCCGTTTTCTGGCCATGAGTCCAACTTATTGCTTCATAGAGCAGTGCAGAGAGCAAACTGATTTAACTTCCTCTGTGGTCAAAGATAGGAAGAATCAGATGTTGGCTTCAGTGGATTGAAAAACTTTGGGCCCTTACTCTCTTGACATCTAAAGTAATGTTTCTCAGAAACACTTCATGAGTGTCAGATTATCCCCAAGTAGGGTAGTATTGCAGGTGGTCAGCTTCAGGGGAGTTAGTTTACTTAAATTTTTCAAATTATGGAAACCAGAAGTGGCCTAGACTTGAGTTTCATTTAGGAGTGTGAGTTTCTTGGCCGTGCTGTATATAAAAAATATAATCTTGTACATAAGGTTATGTTATTAAGTAAGTGGATGCTGAGGCTTATGTTGTGCTGGTAAAATAACTTCATATTTTTAGATGGGGCAATACTTGGTTGACTTGGCAAACCTTGAAAGTTATACATTACAATGCTGGAGAAAAGTAACTTTGAAAAGGGGAGATTTTGTTTCTTGTCTTTGTGCTGTAAGACTTTCAGTTGTGTGGCTTTGTTTTTGTTAAAGCATATATTAACAAAGTTAACTTTTGTGGCTGAACAGTTTGTCAGAATGTCAAAGTAACCATTTTACATTTTAATCCCTGTGCATAGTAAATACCCCAAAGAATGGCAGCAGAAGCCATGCAGTACACAGATACATCTGGGAGGCCTATCTGCCTCCTTTTGTGTGTGATTTCAGGCCCTTGCAGGTGCCTTCCCTGCGAGTTGTTTCCTCTGGAAGGCTGCCAGTGAACTCTTGGAGCACAGGGAATGCTTCTTCCATCTCCAGCAGACTTGGACTAGACCTGGCACAGCACTGCATGTGGTGCGAAAGAAGTAAAACTGTAGGAGTGAGCAGTTAGATCAGCTCAAGTTTGTGGTGAAGTTGCGGTCTCAGCCTTTGGTTCTGTTGCTGTTTAGGTGGGGTTGCTGCCAAAGACCAGTCTTGTGCTCTTCTTTTGCTTCATTTTTGCCCTTGTATTGCATTGTTATACTAGCACAAGTATTTACATGACTGCAAACTGAACTTGGATCAGAAAAGAATGTGTCTGAAAACTATTCCAACATTTTTTTTTTCACAAGTCGTAGGATCCAGTTCCTTCTGCAGTGATGTGAAGAGCTGTCCTGGTACAATAGGAAGGAAGGGTGAGAATTGCCCTTTTTCCATTCCTAACTTCACAGTTTTATTCCAGCTTTACTGCTGTGCTTCAGTGGAAGTTGTTCTCAGCTTTACTGGGATGAGTTCTAAGAGAATAAAGGGAATGAGATGACTTGCACTGTTTACAGGTGTAGTAGGAAGTACAACCTGAGATAGGTGGTGTGTAGGCAGGAAAGGAGTCTTGTCTGAGGGGATCGAAGGCTGTCCCAATGAACAGTTTTAGAAGATGAATTTGAACCAAGATGATGGCTTGCTGTCCTAAAAAGGAGCACCTGAACATCTTCCATTTACATTTACCTCTTCTCCTGCATTCTCAGATGCTGAGGGTAGATCTGGTGCCTGTGTGATAGCACAGTGGACTGATTCAGCTGTCTGAAACACCAGAATACTACTCTGGTTGAAAACTGTTCGCTTTGTGTTGATCTTTCAAGTTAGCTTGAGCCAGCTTAATTTGAACTGGCAAGGAGGAAGAGAAGAGATGGGGCAAGGCTTCATCCTTTGAGGTGAAGGTGATGCCTTAACGTCACACTCGGGGGGGAATTCTTGTTCTGTCTCTGTAATTTTGGGGCAAGTCATGTGTCACATGTACTGCTTGGTGCTGTTTATTTTCTCATTCCTTCAGTGGATGTGCATTTTGAATGAGTACTGATCACTCACAGCTGCAGTTGTTTAAATAGGAACTGCAAATTAAACATGTAAATTGTTACATTAGAAAAATTGAGTGCCAGCTAATGTGAATTATTAGGGTTAAAAGTATTGAATGGCTTTGACTAAACAGTTGAAGTTTTGAGTAGATAAAATGGAGATAGTGACTCACTGCTTGAATCGTAAAGCGAAGCTTATTAATGTTTTTAAAGTTCATTAATATAGAGGAGTGGAGTACCACTGAAATGGTCAGTTTAGTTGTCCTGTATCCTTAACAGCCAGGCAAAGTATGGCTGATGCTTGCTGGAGAGCAGAGGATGGTAGGTTCATGATGCCTTTGATAGTCCTGTTGGTGGTTTAGTTCTTGCAGCTGCCTTTGTAAAACATACAGTAGATTGCATGTAAAGTATAGAGTGTTGTTGAGTGGCAAATAGGATTGCAGGTGGCTTGTTCTGAACAATTTTTGAAGGAATTGTTTCTTCTGGGAGTATCACCTGTGTGATACTGAATGAGCCTATAATGTAAGGGTTGTGGCATAAAGCTTTAGGAACAAAAAGGAGCATGTGAAGTTTGGATGTGCAAATTGTATAACTTCAGTTAATCCAGTATTATTCTTTTGAATATGCAGTGCATGTTTAAATTCTGCTGTGGTACAGACAATAATAGTTTAGTAGCTTTTAAAGCTTTAATAACAAGCGTTTAGCAGCTCCTCATGAGCTTGTAGGTTTTTTTTTATGAGGTGAGGATGAGTAGTGTCAATATTAAATCAAGATCTGCTTGTCCTGCTTACAACTAAATTGTAGTATAACCCTATGTGTGTTTTGTTCTAAGGTTATTTTTAAGCTTATTTACTTGAGAAATTAGAACAAGAAAATGATGGAATTCTATTGGTTAGTCTTTTTAAGTTGCATCTTTGGTTGAAGAATTTAACAGTCAGTTTCTTGCTCATTTCTGAAAGGAATTTCTTAAAGTTCTCAAATGGGTTATTTCAGAGCTTCCCTGTAGATCTTGTAATAGAAATACCAGTAGCATAATGTTATGAAGTCAGATTAGAGGGTATTTAGTGTAGCCTAGTTTGGAGCTAGATTGTTTTGAGACTGATCTTTGAGTTAGTCAAGAATTTTCTAGATGAGCAGTCTATTGGCAATAAATATTTTGTTTAGTTAACTGGAAAAGTGCTGTAATTTGCCCTATTGTGTTTTTTTTACTCCTTTCTGTGTGTGTATAAAAGATCCTGACTTTCTGGTTTTGTAAAATATACTACAATTTGACTGACATGTTTCTGTTTTAAATTTTTCAGTCTGCAGACGCGGAGGCCCAGTGTTCAAGCATCTCTCGGGAGGATAATACCCACTTGTCAGCAACCAGTCAAGGATATGTTTTACCAGAAGGAAAAATCATGCCAAATACAGTCTTTGTTGGTGGAATTGATATAAGGGTATTTATGTACACTTAATTCCTTGAGAGAGAGAGATATATAGTACACTTCAGTGGGGAAGGAAATGGGAATTTAATGTCTAGAATGGAACTGAGGTTTTTGGCTGTCGTTACTAGAGCTGTGGTATTGTGGTTTCATAGGAGAATTTTGCAACAGGTGAGGTCCTTACTGCAATAGGAGATAGATTTAAATGTCTTTTTTCCTGCTTTAAATGAACTAAACAGTTGAATGTGTGTGTTTGAAGGAATTTAAGACTTTATTTCTTTCAGATGAATGAAACAGAAATTCGAAGTTTCTTTGCACGGTATGGCACTGTGAAAGAGGTGAAAATAATCACTGATAGAACTGGTGTTTCCAAAGGGTAAGTAGAACATGAATATTTGCTTTACATTGCAGCTTTTGTGGACATAATTCTTTCATAGGTGTTACAATGAGGAATTAAACAAGACGCTTGAAATGTCTTAAGTGTTCTTGGGCTGCAGTTTTCTGTAATAATGAAGAGCTGTGAAACTTCGAAGTTTAGAATGAATCTGTACAATCTGCCAATAAGGAATGGTCTGATTTTAGTATATCTTTTGATGAATAGGGTTATTGTCATTTAACTGGGGAAACAGTTTTTGAAACTTGAGACACTTCTGTGGACATACCTTCATAGGATGAAATACTGACACTTTATTGGTCAGGATAGTTTCAGTAACAACCTGGAGAGAGGTCAGTTTGGTGATGCTAAGATGATGAAGAGCAGAAGGGAAGGGTTTATTCAGGGCAATATAACTGTACTCTTCTGACACCTGGGGTTAGTTTATTGAGAAGGCAACTGACATTTGAGACGGAGTGGCACCGGAGACAGCAGTGAAGTTGCAGTGAGTGAAATTCCCATTGGGTATATAGAAAGAATTTGAAGTGACAGTGGTTAAGCACTTGGATGAGGTTGCATAGGGCATTATTCAATGGAGTTCTGTCTACAACCTCTGGGCAAGCTTTTCTGGCTTTGACATTGGCCCTACTTTGAGAAAGAGGCTTCACCTCTGGAGGTTTCTTCTGGCTTAGGTTTTTCTATGGTTCTATGAACAACTGCTCAAGTTTTTTTTTTTCCTAGGCATATGCAGTAATACATGAGCCAGAGATCTATTTTATTTCTTCATAAGCTACTGATCCTGTAATGCTTTGAAATGATGTTCATTTGAGTAGCTGACATGGAGGAGAAAAGCCTTCAATTGTTTCAATATGCTGTAGAATTAGGTGTATGATTTCTTTTCATCTGACCTAAGAGGATATGCTGCTAGTTAGTACTAAATACTGTTCATGTTGGTCTTTTGTCAGAATTATAAATTAATGCCTGATTTGGTACTTCAGGCATACAGTAATACTCTTGGGACATGGTTAATGTTCAGTTAGAAGCTAAACAAGTAAATCAGTCTGGTTA